GAGCTCGTCGTGGCAACCTGCACACCAGCGCTGGCCGGCGCGATGAGCGTCGTGCCACCTGACCCGACACGGGTCGCAGGCGTCGTACCGAGCGCGTCGAGACCGTGTCCTGATGTGATCTGCACGGGTGAGTCACGTCGGCGTCAAAGGAGCGACGTGCGACCTGTCAGAGCTTGATCTCCAATCTCAGCTGCCTCTGTGCGTCCTGGGGAGGGACAAAATTGTCGCCGCCGGAGACGACTCGACGCCGCTGAGATTGGAGATCAAGCTCTGACAGGTCGCACGTCGCTCCTTTGACGCCGACGTGACTCACCCGTGCAGATCACATCAGGACACGGTCTCGACGCGCTCGGTACGACGCCTGCGACCCGTCTCGGGTCAGGTGGCACGACGCTCATCGCGCCTACCAGCGCTGCCGTACAGGTTGCCACGACGAGGTCGAGCACGCTTCTATACGCTCGCCGAGCCTTCCTTTCCATCCCATTAGGCAGCCTGGGAACGGTGGCGGTCAGAGGCAAAGCCTACGAGGGGTGGTGGAACCACATGTCACGGCTACTGCCGGCTCGACCCCACGATAGCCTCCGAAGGCTGACTTTGCGGCACCATCATCGGACGATGTCGACGAGTTGGGTCGCTGTCGCGGTAGCCAGATGACCTCTCTTTCTAGGAGCATCGGCCATGGCCGCAGGGAGCGCGGGGGAGGGCGCTGGAAGCAACACGGAGCTCCGTTGGAGACGTTTTCAAGATTAGCGTGTCAGAGCCGTGAAATGGCACTAGCCCCTGGGGCTCGCACCTCAACCTCTCACAGACCAGCGCACAGCGCCATAGGACGTTATTTTCTTCTCATAACAAGGCTGTGAACTCACAGGCCTTCTAGGCACAAGAGGGTGACCTCGCAGACAGACAGTGAGGGTGTGAGAGGCGGACCTAAGGAGCGGGTGTATCATGCGATGATGAGTCGGACACGGACTCGATAACGTAGTGTATACGCGTTGTGTTGTGTGGCTCTACTTGTGCAGCACACAGATGTGCGACATGTGCAGAGCTCAGAGGACAAGCTGGCCCCGCTCTCTCTCTGCCCTCTCTCATCGCATACCGCCTCACCTCTCGCCCTTCTCGCGGACACTCGGCCAGGACATCGGGTCGCACCAGCTGCGGCCGGGCAGCATGATGTGCCAGTAAAACCACGGCAGCGCGTGCCGCTTGAACGCCCACGCGAGCCGGGACGGCGCGGTGTTCTTGATCAGCCAGCCCGGGAAGCTGGGCATCAGCTGCCCCCCCCACCCAAACTCGGCCAGAACAACCTTGCCCTTCTCGACCGTCAGCGGGCAAGCGCCGTACCCGTCGTAGACCGCCTCTGTCGGCCTGGCCGCCGCCGGCGCCAGGTCCTGCAGCAAGTTGTGCACGACGACCGGCGCCTGCTTGCGCGCAGCGGCCATGGTTTTGGCGTTCGGCGCGGAGACGCAATCGCCGGCGGCAAAGACGTTTTCAAAGTCGACGTGGCGCAGCGTGTCGTGCTCGACGGCGACGAACCCCGTGGCGTCGGCCAGCGGCGATTCGCGCACGCACCGCGGCGCACGCATCGGAGGCACCACGTGCAGCATCTCGAACTCCTATGCCCGACGCTTCATCTGATCACTAACCAGTCCCGAGCCACCGCGCGAAGCGCCTCTCGAACTCCTTCTCGACGAGCTGGCCGTCGGCGGTCTGGAACTTCGCGCGCCTCGCTTGCCCATCCACCGCCACGAGGGTGTGGCCATAGCACTCGGTGGCGCCGTACCGGTCCATGTAGCCCTGCAGCGTCGGCACAAACTCCTTGACGCCAAAGAGCGCCGGCCCAGCCGAGCAGAAGGTCAGGTCGACCGCCGCGCCGGCGCTCTCCCAGGCGTGCGCAGACAGGTAGAGCGCCTTTTGCGGCGCGCCGGCGCACTTGATTGGCATCGGAGGCTGCGTGAAGATCGCGCGCGGCCGTCGCCCTCCGGCAGTCGCCTGGACGAGGCGCGGCCGAGGTGCGGCCGAGGTGTGGCCGAGGTGCGGCCGAGGCGCGGCCGAGGTGTGGCCGAGGTGCGGCCGAGGTGCAGCCGAGGTGCAGCCGAGGTGCAGCCGAGGTGCGGTGCGGCCGAGGTGTGGCCGAGGCGCACCGACAGCTGCTCCACCAGCTCCGCCGTGTACTGACAGGAGCTGAAGTCGTAGTTTGACGTCACGCCATTCCGGCCGAGGGTAGGCTCGAGCCCTTCGATGGCGCCCCAGTCGAGCTCCAGCCCGGGGGCCACCACGAGTCGCTTATACCGAAGAGCGCTCGACTTGCCCTCTTCCTCTCGCAGCCGGAGCTCGTTCTTTTCCGGCACAAACTCGAGCGCTTCCTTTTGGATCCACTCGACCTGCTCGGGAATCAAGCTCGCCATGTCTGCCCGAGTCTGGGCCGCGTCGAAAGCGCGCCCTCCCACCAGCGTCCAAGCCGGCTGGTAGTAGTGGGTGCCCGAGGGCTCGATTAGCCCAATGCGCAGATCCGGTGCCTTCTTCCGCAGCAAAGCACAGATAGAGAGGCCAGCAGCCCCGCCACCGACGACAGCGACATCGTAAATTGGCGCAGCCGACGTGCTGACCGACCGCCGCGCCGAGTGACAGGCCAGCGAGGTGAGCGGGCGCCGAGCGGCGCGACAGGCCAGGGAGTTGAGCGGGCGCCGAGGGGCGCGACAGGCCAGGGAGGCCAGAGCTGCCCCCATAGGGGGGCTTGCCAACAGCAGCCGGCAGTTGGGGAAACCCAGACGGGCCCCCTCCCCCCCCCCCCCCGAGCAGCGGCGTTTGGAAGAATTTTAAATGCAACTGCTCCAAGTGCAACTCCTGGATGTGTCTGTTTTCTTTCTTTCTTTTTACTCCTGGATGTGAGGTTAATGACTGCACTCCAAGTGCTCCAAGTGCTCCTTCGCACGACACTGGGCACGGGACTGGCGCGCACTGGCACTAGCACAGGTACACCACGCTCCACGGGAGCCGTCCTGCGTTTGGGAAGAAAGCGATTAGTCCGCTTGGGATGTGAAACACTCTGTGCCGCCTCCCAAGCCAATAGTGTCTCAGGGTCTCTGCCTGACACACATTCCTGCATGCACAGTCACAAACGGTGTAGAGGGACTCATGTCGTGCCACAGGGGCCGGATGGGTAGCAATGTTCGCATCTTCGGACGCATCCGAGCGGGCGGTCCCGAGCGGTCCCGCGAGCGGTCCCGAGCGGTCCCGAGCGGTCCCGAGCGGTCCCGAGCGGATCCGAGTGGCCCCAGAGCACCCCAGAGCACCCCAGTGCCCAGAGCCTACCTGAGAGCCCACGACCGTGGCGAGGAGCCTGTTTCTTGTAATGATTAACATCCTTGTTCTTCACATAAAACTACATACAACAAACGTGCGTGTCCACAACTACACTCCAAGTGCTCCAAGTCCAGTCCGGGGCCCGACTGTTCTTCATTCACCTCATTAAGTGCAGGCGCAAGAGCTGCAGCCGCAGCATCTCCACTGCGCAGCGCGGGCAGAACGCGCTCGCAGAGCGCGATCGTGATCACCGAAATTCTTTCGCACGTGTGCACACAAACAAACACAGAGTCGTTTGGTATGGCTAAGATCTCTCAATCTCTCTCTCTCTCTCTCTCTCTCTCTCTCTCTCTCTCTCTCTCTCTCTCTCTCTCTCTCTCTCTCTCTCTCTCTCTCTCTCTCTCTCTCTCTCTCTCTCTCTCTCTCTCTCTCTCTCTCTCTCTCTCTCTCTCTCTCTCTCTCTCTCTCTCTCTCTCTCTCTCTCTCTCTCTCTCTCTTCACACAAGAAAAGAAATTTCCCCCGAACCGCGTCGAACCCATCCAGCGGGCTCTCTCGGCTACGTAACACCGGAAAATAAGTTCCACGGGCTAGGGGGCACAAGCTCGTCAGCTGTCATGATGTACCCGAAGGGAACCCCAGCGCCAACACCGACGTGGAGTACAAGTGCTCGAAACGAGAGTGGATCTGAGCAACGACATGACTTGGCGGCAAATGATCCGAGTCGGAGTCAGAAGAGTGGTCCTTGCGGGCTTGCGCAAGGCTCGATAAACCAAAATACGATGAGGAGAGGGCGGAGATACGCTGAGAGGCGAGAGAAGCCGCGAGAGCAAGGGATCGACAGCGGCGGCGCAAAACGAGGCCGAGGAGAGCGCGATGAGTCAGAGGCATGGTCAGAGGATGAAACAGCAGGAGAGAGACGACGAGAGTGGGAAGAACGCGAGGTGGCATGAAGGTCGCTGCGAGAATCGGCGAGGGACTGCAAAAAGAGAGATAGAAAGAGGCAGATGCCCAAGGATGGGCGACGGCTAGCACCACACTCCTCTTAAAATCCCTGTGGGTGGCGGCGTGTGCCTTCCTCTCATCCCTCCCTTGCGCGGTGCGGTTATTTCTTTCTTTCCCCACCTGCACGAGCAGGATTTTGGAAGGACGATCAGGGGACTGGGTTGGACAAATTCTTTTTCCAGAGCGTCTCACCTTGTCAGGACCTCCGTCTACATCGAGCGTCGACCTTTGCCGCCGAAGCCACAAAGCTCAACGGCCGCCCGCCGCCGCCTCCGCCACACTCGATGACCCTCCGCCGCAGGATGTCCAGAGGCCGCAGCGCAGAACGCCGCATGTCGACTGCCAAGAAGGACGCCGCGCTCACGGTGCTGACAGTTGCTTGCGGGTACGACGACTCTCTCCGCGCCTGGGTGGCCCAGCGCATTCGCGCGTACGCCGCTCGCCACGACTATACCGCGCAGGTCTTCCTGCGGGCGTGGGACGAGCGCTGCGACTCCTCCTCCTGGGAGAAGCTCAACCGTACGCGCGCGGCGCTGCGAGGCGGCGCGCCGTACGTGCTGACGGTGGACGCGGACGCGGTGATCCTGCCGACCGCGGGCAGCCTGAGAGATCAGTGCGCGGCGCTCGACGCGGCCGGCAAGACGTGGGCCATGTCGGACGACGAGAACGGGCCCAACGGCGGCGTGGTGCTGTACAAGAACGACGCGCGCACGCTTGCGATGCTCGACGAGATGGCGGCGCAGGAGCAGGCGCTGCGGTCGGCCTGGCTGGCGCCCTTCCACTGGGAGCAGCGCGCCTTCATGTACGCCATCGGCTCGTCGCACTGGGCGCTCAAGAACCGGCTGCAAGGATGGCTCTCGCTCCCTTCCTCGCCAAACAGCGCCGCCTACGCCGCTACAAAGGGCGCGCTCGACCCGCAGTGGAACACGCGGCTCGACGACGCCTCGCCGCGCCGGTCGATCGTCCACCTCGCCGGCGGCCCGCGCGCAAAGGCGACCAAGCCGGCGATGATGCGAGCGCTGCTGCGGCTGGGCGCCACCAACGCGGGGGTACCGCGCGCACCGCTCCCCCCGCCCGGCACTGTCGCGACAGCCTCTGCTTCTGACCCCGCAGCTGCTCTCTTCCAGGTCGTGCACCGCTTCACTCCCGGCACTGTCGCGACCCGCGGCATCGTGGCGGAGGCGAGGGGCGCGTGGGCGGGGCAGGGCTTCCGGCTGGATGAGGTGAGCGAGATAGAGCCGAGATAGAGCTGAAGATTCGCCGAGGTGTATAGACGAGAGAGATAGCCGGGGCCGACACCATGGCCTCCGGCGCTCGGTGGGGTGAGAGGTGGCCGCGCTCTCGGTGCGAGGTGTGTCACGTAGTAGAGCACCGAGAGAAGGTGTGTCACGGAGAAGGTGTGTCACGTAGTAGAGCAGGAGAGGCGACGAGAGAGTAAGGCATCCTCGACGCGCGGCACATAGGTGACCGACCGGTCGGTGGCGCTCGGCCAGGTGGGGCGGCTGGCACACGGCGTGTGCGGCCTCCCTCCCCAGGTCGGCCGCCGCTACCTGCGCGCGTACACCCACCCGAACACCTCCTTCGTGCAGCGGGCGGACATGTGGCGGTACGCGCGGCTGCTCACGCAGGGGGGGGTGTACGCGGACGGCGACGCGTCGCCGACGCCGGCCTTCCTCGGCGAGTACGCGCGCCACATCTCCGAGGGAGGCGAGATCTGGACGAGAGAGAGAGCCGTCATAGAGCCGAGAGAGCGCGCGAGAGCCGAGATGAGCAGAGAGAGAGCAGAGAGAGTGCACAGATATCTAGCTTCACATCTCGCGAGGGCGGCGGCGAGGGGCTCTGGGACGGTTGCTGTGGGACCGCTGTGTTCCTAAGAGCCACGCGCCAAGTCTCTCTCCCAACTTGGTCCCTAGGCGAGGGGCTGCTCTTCTGGGAGACGCCGATCTCGGGCGAGTGGCGCTACCCGTGGGTGAAGATCGGCGCTCTCACCGGCATCTCCCAGTACGCGCGCATCCCGGAGATGGCGCAGTTTGTGATGGCGAGTGGGCGCCCGTGCGCGCCGTGGCTCAAGGCGCGCTCCTTCGTTTGGACAGTCAACTCAGTCTCCCAGTCGCCCTCACCCCCCGCGCCCTC